TCTACTGGTCCCGATCGAATTAGAGACAGGGCTCCTGTTCATTTAACATTAATAAATGATGAGGAAAACATTATATTAGATAAATATATACGTCCAGTTACGAATGTCACAGATCTCGATCTCCAATTGAATCATCTTGGAATTAATCCAGAAAAATTTCACGCCGAAGGTAAGTCTCAACATTTTTCTGTTAAAAATTGCAATTATAAACATAGTAATTATATACAAATATATTTATATTTATACTTATTTATACTTATTTATTTATTCAGCACTTAATTTTACCGATGCACAAGCATTAGTGAAGATCAAAATAGAAGGCAAGGTTCTTATTGGTCATAGTCTTTTTTATACTCTTAAGGTAGATATTTCTTAGTTTTCATTCAACCTGATGTTTACATAGGTTTAAATTAATACCCTGATACCATTACTTTATAAAGTCATTGGATATAGATTTTCCGAGTATAAATCAACGGGACACTGAGTTATTGCCACCTTACGAAGGTAAATCGCGCCCCAGTTTAAAACAGATGGCACACGAGATACTTGGTATAGATATTACGGATGACGGTAAACCATCAACGGTAAATCCAAATTTTAAATTTTATTAACATTTTATATCAAATTATGCTATTTAATCAAACATATTTCTGCAATAGTTTAAATCGGCTTTGGCGGCTTTAAACCTGTTCATAACATACGAAGGTTCTGAAAACGAAATGATACCAGGGCGTAAGAAAAAGAAACCTAAACAATCAAAAGTTATTTTATCTCAGTCCAAAACTCCAATTGATACTATTAAAATTACACCATCTTCAACAAAGATTAATTTGTTTCAATCCTCAACTAGATTTGATTTGTCTCAATTTACACCATCTCCAACTATATCCATTTTAACTCAGTTTGAAACTAAAACTAATTCTATTCAAATTACGCCATCTAGATGTTCATGTACAGAGACACTAAGATCAGCTGGGACTAATTCGGTTGATCATGAAAGATTTCGTTGCTGTAATATTTTATAATCATTTCTTTTGCTTTAGGTGTTATAATTTTTAAGAATATAAAAATATCGGTTTTAGTTAGGGACTTGGCATTACAGTATGACCATGTGCATGTCAAAATGCTTAAAGTTTATTAGGCATACTTTTATGAGTTATATAAAACTTTACAAAATCTGATAATTTCGAGATATGCTATTATTTGCAAATAATAAGCAATATATAGTGCATTTTTAGTACTAAGTTAGCAATTTTAATAATTTATTACAACTTTGCTAAAATCTCACATTTTTGCGAAAGGGACAAAATATCCTATATTTAGTGTAAATTATTAAAAATATAGGGCTCTAAGAGGAAATTTTCATAGCAAAGTGCTAATTTAGGCAAATTTAGTTTCTTACTAGCACTATTAATGAGCTTTCGACGAGGCTTTTTGACTGAGTATGAAAAATTAGAAAATTTCCATACTCAGTCAAAAAGCCTCGTCGAAAGCTTGTTAATAGTGCTAGTAAGAAACTAAATTTGCCTAAATTAGCGCTTTGCTATAAAAATTTCCTCTTAGAGCCCTATATTATTAATAATTTACACTAAATATAGGATATTTTGTCACTTTCGCAAAAATGTGAGATTTTAGCAAAGAAGATTATCGGCACCCTTAAATATCTAATAAATTAGTTAAATAAGTATACAATACTGGGCAAAAATTGTTGAATAACGGTAATTTGGCTCAAACGGGCAAATGATTGGTTGACACGTGTCGCGAAGCAGCATGTGTCAGCCAATCATTTGTCTGTTTGAGCCAAATTACTGTATTCAACAATTTGCCCAGTATTGGTATTATCCGGCAATTTATGATCATGGCCGATTCTCCCCCCCCCCTATATATTGATTTTAGATCTAGAGATTTGATAATCATATAGAAAAAAAAATTTTTTTCTTTCTCTCTTTCGCTGGCGCAGTAACTTTTACTAGTAGCCTTTTTTTTTTTTTAAATATACATTCTTTTTTTTACCTTATAAACAATGTAAAACGTATTTCTGAAGCTTGTACACCTTGTAATGCCTAAGTCAAAGGCTGTTATGACCGGCCCCAGTGATGTGGAGATGAATGCCAATTCATCATCTGGGGCCAAAAAAGCAACGAACAGAACTGTTTCAAGCGTGATCACATGCTCTAGAACCAGTAACATGAAAAAGAAAGCAGTTACAGCCGTTAACAATAATGAAGGGTCATATGCAAACTGTAATACTGAGCCAAACGTGATTAGTAATGTTGAAATTGAAGGTAATGCGACTAGTAACATCAAAATTGAAAGTAGTGCAAAAAAGCCTTTTTTAAGGAGTAATAAGGTAACTTTTTTTTCTATTTTTTTGAATTTCGCTCGTTTTACAAAAATAAATAAAAAAAGCTAATATGAAACTTTAGCGGGTTAGGTATACAGAACCTACCTTGAAGGAAATTGAAACTGTTCATGGAAACTCAAGGGTAATTTCAACGCATAAGGCAATGGAAGTTTGGGTTAAAGCCCTTGAAGAGTTTCATTCCGATATCGGCTATGAGGGTAAAATCGAAGAAATAGATTCGAAAAAGCTCCTCAAAACCAGCTATCAAGGTTCGTCATGGCTATGAAATGAAAGGATGGTGGTGAATTCCATTCCTCTTCAATTCGGAACTATATGGCTGCGATCTGGCGGCACCTAAACCAACACTCTGTGATGCCAAAGCCTGTGGAGATTCTTAACTCGAACGTCTATTTTGATTTGAATGTCATCGTAAATGGCAAGTTGAAAAATTTATCAGCGAAGGGTCTAGGCGAACGTGCCGGGTCAGATGCTCTGACCTTGCAAGAAGTTGAAGAAATTCTTTCCCACCATACTATGCAGCATAATAATCCTAAAGGACTGCTGTGGCGTATTTTTTTTTATAATTCAATTCTTTTGGCTCTGCGGGGCAGTGAGCATCAAGACCTTCGAATTAATAACTTTGTGAAACGGTTTGATGGAGGAATTGATATAAAGCTGTATCGATCGAAAACGAATCAACGAGGACTCAGGAATTACGATGGGCAAGCTGAGGTCATTAGTCTACCAAACATAAAGAGCATAATTGATGATTATGAGTTCTATTTTGTTAAGCGTCCAGTCACTACGTTGACAAATTTTTATTTGAGTCCAGTTCCTGCGAACACGGGTAAATAGTATTTCAATTTTGAATTTAATAATTTATTGGTCTAACAATTTTTGTTTTCAAGTCGAATTCAGTGGTCAATGGTACTATGGGCGTGCATTTGGGGAAAAAAAATTAAGAACATTCTTTCGGGCCATTTGTGAATCTACGGATATACAATTTGGTGGTCGAAGTATATCCAACCATTCGGGAAGGAAAACTGCGGTCCAAGTATTAAAGGAACTCGGGTATTCCGACGCTGTGGTTATGTCAATTATGAGGCATAAGTCGCAGAAGGGTCTAGCCGCATACGAACGACCGAAGACCATAATGCAGCAAGAAGGCCTCAATGGATTTTTAAGGGCATTGACGATTGTAAACAATGGAGAAGGGTTATCAAAAGGCATTTATTATAATTTTGTAAATTTAAGCGAAGTGTTCAAATTTTGATTTTACATTTTTTTTTTTCTTTTTTTAGAAAACGAAGCACCTAAAATGCAACCAGATCATACGAGTGGAGGATTCAAACAGGCAAGCTCAATGATATCACTTACAAGTGAACTTGCAAATGACTTTGATGGCCTTGAAGCTTCTTCGTTCATCGACGAACCACCAGAATTAGCAACTGCGACCGATGAACCACCAGGATCAGCAACCACGACCGAAACATCACCACGAACACGGAATGTGTTGGGTGATGTGGAATTGCAAAATTATGAAAATATACAAAGTAGTGAAGGAAGTCAAAAGGAATTTATTGAAAGATTTCTTGGTGGAAATACTTTCAATAATTGTGTTTTTAATTTTTAATTGCCTAAAATTAAAAAATAAATATGTAATTAGTATTGAACAAAAAAAATAAAATAAAAATATGCAAATTTAACTTATCTTCATGTACTGTTAAAATTGTTGGTATTATTATATTTGATTTATTGTCTACAATATTTGTCTATAAATTGAATATTTGGCATTGTGCCAAAATCGGTTAAAAAATATCAAGGCGATGCTGTGCCATGATCATATGAGTTTGCCGGATAATGGTAATTTTTCGGCCTTTATTATTACTAAAATATTGATAATATATTGCTAATATTAGCATTTTATTAGCATAATAATTGACAAATATATTTATAAAATTAAAATATAGTAATAAAATGCTAATAAAGTGCTTATATTTGCAAAAATCTGTATTTTAATAGTACATTATCAGCATTGTTAAATTGCTTATTTTAGCAAGTTTAATTTTGACAGATTTTTGTAATAAAATTCTACTTTTTTTGATGCATTTGCATAAACATAGCAAGATCATATCAGAAACGTAATTTGGAAATTGTTAGTCCGTTCTCTGTGTTGGAAGAGCAATACGCATACAAATACAATTTAGCTCTAATGGTTAACGGATGATAAATATATGATTAAACTTGTGGAGAGCATTAATGAAGAACTTCAAGATATCTCATTATCCTCCTTTTTTATTAAGGTCTCAAGGTCTTCCTTAAACACATGATTTCAGATGAATATTTGCAAATTTACATTAATACTATCAGATCTTGAATGAATGCTCTTTTGTACTCGAGCTCTATAGGTTGACCCAACTCAGAGGTTTATGTGAATTATTGATCAAAAAGTGGGTTGACCCAGATCAAACGAGTCATTAATATGTTAGATTAGATTAATTCTACTACTTATTATATCACTAGTGCTAGTTCAGCTCAATTGCATTTTATTTTGTAAACTGGTATTACTATCAGTTTCAGGAGAACATTAGTAAACAGGCGATGAGTTTAGATCATCAATAGTGAATGAAAGTGAGTAATATCAAGTAAGAGATAAAGTTATATGTGAGATAAGTTAAAAATACAATAGAAATTATAAGGATATCAAAGTCTGTATAGTGTAAATTAATCAGGGTGATATAAATAGTCTAATTAATAATAAGACAGAGATCCTTTACGGGTTTATAGCAGTGTTCAAGAGGTTAATATAATTTCTTTTATGGTTTATAGAAATAAAATATTTATTTATTAATAAAGATAAAAACAGGCTATCCTTAAATTTCTATTTCTAAAGAATTCTAAAATTACAAGAAGAATTTAAGAGAAGAGAAAAGTCTGTATCTAATATCTACTTGAGAAAACTTAAACTTTTTTATATTTTTAAAACTAATTAATAATCATTGCTATTAAGTATAAATTATTTAGTACTAAGTATTAATTACTAATTGTTAAGTATTATATATTAAATATTAATCACCAATTTGTAAATATTAAGTATTAAGTGCTAATTATTAATTATTAAGCATTAAGCATTAAATTTAGCATTAATTACTAATTGATATATATTGTTAACATTAAAAGTTTTATATTTCGATCATAACTTTTGATGTACCAGACCAATTTGGATGAATCAACCACTATTAGATTCAGCTCACTGAGACGGTTCTAATGAGCACAAAATCATGTGATTCTGATCACGGGATCACAAGATCGGGACGATTTTGATGAAGTACTAAATCTAGTACATGTGACTTGGATATAAATGGCTAAATTAACTAAGCCCC